AGTTGCTCTGCCCCGGGCTTCCTGGAATCAGCTGCTGATCAGTTTCAGCAGCAGCTGACTTGGGGACGCCTGGGGTTCTTAAGTTGATTCTGTATGTAAGTCAGAACTGGCGGTCAGTTTCAGCAGTGTCTGAATCTGGACGCCAGTTCCGACTTACATACAGATTCAACTTAAGAACAAACCTACAGTCCCTATCTTGTACGTAACCCGGGGACTGCCTGTATACCACATTCACTGCTTCTCTCTTATCCATAAGACTTGTTATCCTATCAAAGAAAGCTATCAGGGTATGTCTACACTACTCCCTCCCATATCTGCCCTCCTTCCCCTTAGTTTCAAAGTCTCCCTTGTGGGACTTTGCAGTGAAGAAAAAACTGAAGGCAGTTTGCTGTGCACATGTGTACCTAAAGTGGAGCACCCATATGAACACACCTCTTGAAGAACCCCAGTTACTGCACAAGATGAATAATCTCTTCTTCTACTAAGAGATTCTATTGCCATCCTAACGCAAGGGTGTAAAGCTAGTCTAGAGCAGTGTCTCCCAACCTTTTGGATATCAGGTGTAGTCAGATGAAAGCCTAAAACATAAGCCATAAGAAACTGGTCCTATCTATCTCATAGAGCTGGAAGGGACCTTGAGAGGTCATTGAGTCCAGTCCCTTATCCCTCACAGTTCTGCCCTGGATCCCTAAATGGGTCCCCCCCCCAGGGATGGAACTGGTCCCCCCTCCCTGGATGGAACTCACCATCCTGGGTTTAGTAGGCCAGTGCTCAAACCACTGAGCTATCCCCCCTGCCCCGCTCTTAGAAAGTGGTGCCAGTCCACAGACTAGTTGTTCAGAAACACTGATCTAGAGACCAGGGCATTAGGCTGGGACTCAAAGGCTATGTCTACACTGCACATTTGTTTCAGAATAAGCTATTCTGGAATAGTTACTCTGAAATAGCTTATTTCAAAATAGCACAGACTACACTGCAGGGAAGCCTCAAAATTAGTCTCAGGCAGGCTTCCCTAATGTAGACGTGCTATTTTGATTGAGAGCCCCAGGAGGCACTGGGGAGGAATAAGTTAGAATGGCCCTGGTGAGGGGCTATTTCAAAATAGCAGAAGTGGAGCGTCTACACAGCCCCTATTCTGAAATAGGCATTATTCGTAGTAGAATGAGGTTTACAGAAGTCAGAATAAGCCTCCTGTTAATTCAAAATTATTTTGAAATAACGCTATTGCTGTATAGACGCTCGCCTAGTTATTTCGTAATAACGGCTGTTATTCCAAAATAACTTTGCTGTGTAGACACACTCAAAGTGACCTAGGTTCAGATCTGAGTTTAGCCACAAAATTTCTCTGTGACCTTGGGTAAGTCACTTAATCTACTCGGTGTGTCTGTTTCTTATCTGTAAAGGAGGATAGTACCTTCCTTCCTCACCGAGTGTTGTGATGAAGCAATTCATTAATGTGCGTCAAAGGCACAAAGAGAGAATGGTATTATGTCAGTACTGAAACAGATAGAGCTGTTTTGCTGGTGTGAGCTGGTGCAGGAGAGAAGCCATTACTCTGAATTACCTAATTTTTTCCCCTTCACTTATGCTCAACAGCTAACATTATTTCAGATAGATTAGTCATGTACTTCTGTGGCTGTTTCCATTATGCACTCTATTTTCAGGCATTTATACTCAGCTATTTTAAATCACATTATTCTGAAGTTTGGAACCTAGATTTTGTTTTAAGAAAACTTATTGAGGGTTTAAAAAAAGATTTTAGCTGGTGTTTGTCACATATTAACATCTCTGGCAGCAATTTTCAAACACAAATGTCTAAATTTACATGCCATATGTGGGCACCTAAGTAAGAGGCTTGACTTTTAAAACACCCACAAATGCCCAATGACTTTAAAGGGAATTGTTGGATGCTCAACACTTCTGAAAATCCAGCTACTTAATATGGATTGAGGCTAAGACTTTGTAAAACTGAGCACCTAAGGTTAGGCCTCTGTGTTTCTGCAAACCCCAATCCTGCAGGGTGCTTGGGTCAATGGGAATTAAGGCCCACGAGGTTGGGCCCATAATCCTTAGCATCTCTCATGCCATTTGTAGAGCACTTTACAAACTATCATCTTGATACCGCAAACCTTTCAAGTCAATGAGATTCCTTTCACGAGAGCTATAAAGGCTGACAGTATTGATCCTAAATGTGGTCTGGGTTCACTCATACCAACTTAGAAATGTTGCCATGTGTGAATTGGGTCAATGGGAATTAAGGTCCATGAGGTTGGGCCCATAATCCTTAGCGTCTCTCATCCCATTTGTGGAGCACTTTACAAACTATCACCTTGATCCCGCAAACCTTTTCAAGTCAATGAGATCCCTTTCATGAGAGCTATAAAGAGCGTCAGTACTGATACTAAATATGGTCCGGGCCCATCATACCAACTTTGAAATGTTGCCATGTGTGAGGTGGAGTGCCTGGGCAACTCATCAACAGTCCACAGCAACACTGTTAACTGCAGAGGGGATTTCAGAAAAGACGGTCAACCTAAATTCCAATTGGAATAGGATGCACCAGGTTTAACGTTGCAAAAAGTGCTGTGGGATTTTTTAATGAAATATTTACTTCCTTTTTCATGTTTCAATCACGCTTGATTTTCCATTACTTTCTTCATCTGTGTGGCAAATGACATGAATAGTGAAGACTCAGATTTTAAGGTGAGGGAACCATCATGATCATCTAGTTTGAGCTCCTGCACATTGCAGGCCATAGAACCTCACTCATCCACACCTGTAGTAGACGCCTAACCTCTGGCTGAGTTACTGAAGTCCTCACATCATGGTTTAAAGGCTTCATGTAACAGAGAATCTGCCACTTGCATTAATTTAAACCTGCAAGTGACCCATGCTACAGAAGGAGAAAAATGCTCAGGGTCTCTAGCAATCTGCCTCAGGGGAAAATTCCATCTTGATCCCGAATATGGCAATCACTTAGACTCTGATGTGGGGAGGGGGGTGAAACCCTGGCTAGAGGAGGCAAGCCCTAGCTCCGCCCCTTCCATCTGAAGCCACGCCCCTTCCTCCACCACCCATCAGAGCCCAGACACCCCTCCCCAGTGTGGCCACTGACCCTGGGCCCCATCCCAGGTTAGCACCCCCCCCAACGGCTGAGAAGCATGTGGATGGCAGGCGGTGTGTGACCGCACCCTTCCCTGCTCTGAAGCATGGGGAAGGCAGGGGGCACATGGCCCCAGCTGTGCCCCCAGCCCTGGAGTATGAGGAAGGTGGGAAGTATGTGGCCATAGCCTGCCAACTCTGGTAAGCCAGGAAGGCGGGCAGTCTGTGGCCCCAGACTGGCGGGAGCACAAGGGGCAGGGCGTGGATGGCAGGCGGTGTGTGACCGCACCCTTCCCTGCTCTGAAGCATGGGGAAGGCAGGGGGCACATGGCCCCAGCTGTGCCCCCAGCCCTGGAGTATGAGGAAGGTGGGAAGTATGTGGCCATAGCCTGCCAACTCTGGTAAGCCAGGAAGGCGGGCAGTCTGTGGCCCCAGACTGGCGGGAGCACAAGGGGCAGGGC